TTATTATCTGTCAGCTGTGGACTACATCTCTAAGCTGATTAGCCAGAGCCGTCTTTTCAGCATTTCAATTAGGAGCGTTTTGAATAGTCAAGCAGCTTGCACGCCTTATATTCATTACTGACATTCTTAGAGCACTATGCGACGTTCAAATCCAGTAATCCAAGAAACATATTGCAGCAGTGAGGATGAAAGGGCAACAGAAGAATGACATCATGGCAGATTTTAATATTGGTCTCACAGGCAAAAGGCAAAAGTAGCTATTAACAGCAATCCAAAGCAATTTACAGCAGCAGAGACACTTGCAGTTTAGCATAAATGGCCCAGCTGGCAATCCTGTCATGTACACCCATATGCAAGCACACACGCATACACACAAACGGTTTTTCATATGCTTTAAAAGACAAATATATTCAAGAGAGTTATATTTACCATCACATATTAAGCTCTGTGCCTGAATCTTATCACTGCAGAATGGTAAAAATTGATAAATGTGTCAGTCTGAGTAGCATGAAGACTGGACATACAGGTAAAACACCTGTATGTCCAATTCGGCTGTTCGGCCAGGTAAAGGGCCACAAAAGGCGAAAAAATGAGAGAGGATGAAGCGGAAGAGCAGGAAATTGAGGGAGAGGAATGGGAGGAAGAGGTTGTGACTCCTAGTACTAATGGATTTAGGTCAGATGACGAAGATATGATTTGCTTTGCATGCTGTGTGTGTTCGTGCGTGTGTGTGTTTGTGTGTGAGCTTGCGTGTACAAGTGGAGGGCATGGTTTTGTGATGTCATTAACAGTGGAGCCAAAATACGATGATCTCGGGGTATTATCAGTATCTGTTTAAGGTATCCGGCTTTGTCAAATACCCACTTGACACAGGAGTCACCATCATGTTTTATCATTCAGTCTGACTCTCTCACTTTCACACACACAAACACGCACACACACACACACACACACACACACACAAACTCCCACTAATCCATTCAAGGCATTGTTAATCCAGCTGTGTGCTGGTACAGAGATGTGCTGTACATGGCTGACAACCAAGTCACCAACGCTGATGTCATACCTGTGTGTATTTCGGTTGCCTCCGTTGTAATCGCTGCTGTTTGCGAGACAGACGCAGCACACTATTATGCGACTACATCAAGGAGCCTAAACCGTGTACTCTGCTCTCTGCATTACAGCACACTGAATTTCTCTCTGTAGAGATCCTGAGTGTCACAAATGCTCGTGTCGGTGCGCTAAGTGAAATGTTGTTGTCATGTTCTCAGCTGTATAATTTGACAAAGAGCTCAGTCTCACTTAGAGCCTCAGTCGGGGAGAAGGGAGCAGAGAGGGAAAAGGGATGCAGTTGTGCACACTTGAGGATTTCTACAGTAGTCATGTACCATTTGCCACAGAACAATGGAAGTGGAGTAGCTGAGAGTCAAGTGCCTTTTCCCTGGGCATGTTAGTGGTGCTTGTAGAGGAAGACGACGGTCTTCCACATTTCATATTAGATTTTTCAAGTGAGTAGATTCGTGTTTTTTACCATTGTGGTTTCAGTGAGGTCTCTTTCTCTAACCTTAAAACATAATATCCCTCATGCTTAATTCAACGAACACGTTTAGACGTATTAAAATCACAAAAGAAGTATTTCATCTCATCACCTTGACACTGTCTGATCTGTTTCTCAGGTATGGTAGAGTGGGTCTGTATTGTTGGAGTGTTCAAAGATATCGCCACAGTCTTTGCTTGATTGTTATAATCTGGTCAATCTGCTTTAAATGCTTAGTTTCCAGCAGTTACTGCATCTGTTTGTCATTGACATGAGGGGATTTCTTTAATATAGTCGCAGCTCTGGCTGTAAACACAGCAGTGTCACCAACCTGCTCCATCTGATTCAAAATTGTATCCACCGCTTTGCTCTGCAGTACTCTGCAGTTTTTGGATGTTGACCAAAACAGCTTTTTCATTAATTAAGTCATGTTAAACTTGCTTTTCTTTGCTTAAGGTTAAAGTAAAAGTGAACAGTACAGTCCCAACGTGTGCCCCAGTCACACAAGTATAGAAACTGTTGAGGAATTATCTGACAACCAAATGTGTATTCTCCAACCAATTGGGGAGTGGTTACTGGAGGTTGTTGGCAGTAATTAAGAAATTCACACAGGCCTAGAGACCCCCTGGTAACCTCAGGCCATTGGTTGGCAGGTGGTTGCTGGAGGTTACTGCCAGTTGCTAGTAGTCCCTGCTGTGTGTGATGCTGGACGGAAAACCTCTGTGCGATTGCTTTGATCACTAGCAGGTTACTGCTGTCTCCAGGGGTTTTCATGCAAGATGCCAACTTGTCTACAAACTACTCGCCAAGCAGCAGTGAAACTGAAGAAAGCGATTGTAACTATAAACAGAGAACATTCACCAAAACGTTCTGCCCTTCAAAAGGGACTACTTTCTCTTTGAAAACAGACAAACTCAAGTCCCAGTTTGCCACAAGCAACTCTGCAGTAGGAAATACGAAAAAGGAAATAAGAGGATGACATTTTAATTTGCTACCTGAACACCCATATGCACCTTTTAACAGAGACATATATAAATAACACTGTTTTATATAGGCTACTGTATTATTGAATGACTAAGTTCACTGTTATGTCCCACAATAAGCAGGAAATGAGGGTATATTTACTGAATACAAATACCTTGCTATAATCATTGTTGTTGCAGAACTTTGCTTGCTTGCTTTGAGTGCCGTGCACTCTCATACTGTGGAGTAGATTCAGGCACCCTAACAGATTTGAGAATTTCAATTTTATTTCAGTGGTAATTTTAAATGTTGTTATTTTTTCCTCTTCTTTTTACAGAACCAGGCCAGGGACAGAGAACAGAAGAAGAAAAAGTTGGCTTAAAGGGAGCGTGGACGTGTAGTTATGAAGAAGTTAGGAAAAGCCTTCATAAATTATTTCAATGGATATACAAATGATGAGTGTAACCTTCAGAGATGTTTTGCTGGAATAAATGGCGAATAGACTGATTCTTTTACGGTACTTTTCTACTCTCCCAGAGCACTCAAAGAATTTAATAGAACATACTTGATTCACCTATTCACACCCAGTCATAGAAGTGCTTTTTCTATGTTTAAGTGCTTTCTATCTAACATTCACACACATTCACACTCTGATGGATGCATCGGAGAGCAACTTGGGGTTAATATCTTGCCCAAGGATATTTGGCATGTAGACAAAAGTAGCCAGGGATTGAACCACCAACCTTCCTAACCCACTTAACCTCTTGACTTACAGCGACCAATGCACATAATGGGGAAATAAATGTAGTTCTTTACATTTCTAATAGAGAGGATTTTTAGGACTTTTCAGTTACAAACTAGAGGATGCATTTTTTCATGCAAGCCCAGATTAAGATTTAACTGCCTGTGTAGCATGGACGGACTGGGCGTGTGTGTGGCCAGAGACAGGGATAAATAAGGGAAAGCAAAGGAGTGGACACATCCTGAAAGAACAAGACAGATGTAAAGCTATGCTAACAGGAAGCACAAGAAACAAGTGAGGAAAAACAGTATGCATAGAAAAAAACATGATACAGGCGAGGCAGAAGACTATCAAAGTAAAACAGGAAGTAGCACACTTAGACATGTGGGCTTGATACAGGGACTGGAGAGAAACACTTATGAAGACACACAACTTGATGTGGGAAGACAAAAGCACGCACATAGCAGACAGAGCTGAAAGACAGAGAGAGAAAGCTAAAGAGCAAGGGACGAGAGAGAGAGACAGAGGAAGAGAGTGCACGAGAGAGCGACAGCAAACTTGACTTTCATAAACAGACATGATAGACAACACAGAGACATGACAGGCATAGAAATTAACATGAAGACAAGACTGACTTCACAGAGAGACACCAATAACTAACACAGGAAACTAGACACGAGAGAAGGAACCAGCTAGTGATGATGAACAATGACTTAATCGCATAATAACAAAAGCCTGAATGACAACAAATGCAAAATATAGAGCTATAATATAAAAATAACTAACTGGAAAACTCAAAACCAATAAGACAGAAAAATTAAAAACCCATGAGAAAGAAGGAGCAGTCGGATTGGGACATGGCTGAGATTGAAAGGCTGAATGTGGGAGGAAGAGGGTCATGACATTTAAAAAAAAAAAGCTGGGAGGGATCACAGGGAAATACTGAAAGAAAAAACAGAAAGAAGAAAAGCAATAGGAAAGAGTGACGGATAGACAGAGAGATAGTAAGCACTAAAATGTAGTAGAGGAGATAGCAGATGGTGGGGATTATTCTGGACTAAAATACTCTGTGATCTACAGAGGGAAGGCCACAGACATAAACCGTTACAGACTCCATCTGCCAGAAATAGACCAAAAAGAGCTGTAGGTGCACCATCACGATAATGATCAAATACTGCCTGGATAGCAAAATCCAAAAAACGGCTATATTTGTCATCATAAACAACACAATGACTCTGAGGACAGATAAAATGCTGATGTTCAGTTATGCTCACGCGTTTAGAGAAATCACTTGGGAGAAATGTCCTGTTGAGTGTCACAGAATCGGGCCTTTCAAAAAACTTAACAGAATTATATTTAGAAACTGAAACGGGTGATCGGCAACGACGTGAAGACCTAAAACGTGCTGCTTTCAGGTGCCTATGTGCTGGAGCATTTGTTTGTGTGTGATTATGACTGATACCATCAGCCACTAATCCACATTTTATGTTCACCGTGATTAGGACAACAGCCTGCTGAGCTATGTGCGTGCATGTGCGTGTCTGTGTGTGTGTGTGTGCAGTGAAAACAAAGGCAAACTAGTCCACAAATCTCCCAAATAATTCGGTTATATCCATCCACACACATACAAAACCTGAAAACACACAAACAGAGATACAGACTAATGCTTGCTAATCACCCAGTCTCCCCCTGTGTGCAGGAAGGGAATAAAAGAGCAAAGACAGAGATCTGGAAATAAGTTGAGCTCTTTTTTTTTACCTTTTCCTGTGTGTAGATCAAACCTTGAACCTGCGGAGAGAGAGAAAAGACAATAAAGAAGGCATAATTACTGTTGTGTTTTGTGAGTGAGCATTAGTGTAGCTGAGGCAATCACACAGTGCACCATCACACTGATGAAACAGAGAAATCAACATTAGCATCTCTCTGCAGGCAGACAGAACCTGCGCCATGCTCAGTTGCTTCTTGCATCTTTTCTTGATATCCCTGCAACTGCTACTCAAGACTTTAGGTTCCTGTGGCAGCAAGTAAGCCAGTGGCATTCAAGTCTCAAATATTGTGACTTAATCTTTGTGTGCATAAGAGAGAAAGTGTGTGTTTGTGCATGTGTGTTATTGGCTAATTATCTACCCTGACATGGGGGGCAGTTAATTAAATCCTTCCCCGGCAGTATGCATAAAGTAATTATTGAGCATGGATGCATATCTACAAAAAAAAAAACAAAAACATTTGCATGTGATAAACATAATGTCACGTGTTCCCTGATGCAACACACACGTTTAAAAGAACTTCCTTTCCAAAGAACTGAGAACATGCAGGCAATCAAACCGCAAATCAGAAATGTGTTTTTTGCATCATCTTCTCAGAAGATAATGAGCTGCTCTTCAATTCCACCTGGAAATTGAAGGTGAGCGCAATTGCACTTGACAGACCGCTAAGTTCATTGTTTCTAAGTTCATCATCACATTGAACCGATGTTGATTTTGTTGATCGTTGATTTTCGTTAAAGGACTGTTAAAGTTAAAGACTTCTTAATTCTTAAACCTATTATGGATTCAGTTTTTATACACCTCAAAACACCAGTATGTATCCACCAACTGCGCCAGTGAAACAACACATTCCCTGCAATCACCGTGCCCCCAATTACTGCTTTCTGTTCTGAAGCTGATGGAAGAAGCCTGTCATCCAGTCGGTATGTACAACGTGCAAACAGATGCCCGCTGCATCTGCCGTCTCAGTGAAACGGTCCGGTGCTGGATTGACACGATCTGCTAAGCTGCAGTGAGTGTCTGAAATCTTTACCTTCGCTTAAAGGGCTTTGAACGCTATAATCAGTGATAAAAGCTCTTAACTGACACAACATCCTCAGAGAGAGAAAGGGGGGGGAAGTGATTGCGTGTGTGCGAGGTTAACTGGGCATTTTTGTCCCTTTGCTACTTTCACGAGACTTCTCACACTTTTCAATTTCAAAGATTCACTTTCTAAGATATCTCTTCCTTTCATGCAAAACACTGCGTCATTGTCCCACACTGTAGCTGCATTCAGAGTATTTTGAAAAGAGGCAACACTGGCAGTTTCAATCTGTCCTCTGCTGAAAACCTTTGATGCTTTCAAGCTGAACAGAGAGAGACTGACCACCCAGGCTACAGGAGCCCTAGAAACAACAGGAGCTTCTGCAGCATACAAATAAGCTTAACAATCTTCTACGGATACGCACACATAAACACAATAAGATGTGTATGCTTTTCCCGTACAGGTTTATGTGTTGCTAAAAATACATATAAAAGACCTTCATGTTACAGGATTAAAGTTCTTTTACCCCTATAGGGACCCCAAAGCTAACAAGCTTTATGGCTCATATAGCAAAAACATCATGCCTGAGTACTTCTGTTTTAGTTTACCAATACAAACGTTCTGCTAAGAGCTGAGTTCTTATAATCTTGCGAACATATAGTCATGTACTTGGTCAGTAGAAAAGCACTTTACACTCTCTTCATGTGTGAAGAGATAAAAAAAAAAACCCAAGCAAACAAGCGAGCAAAACAAGAAAAACGAGCACACACAGTAATAATATTTCATATTTTCTGCATGAGCAGGTGATGCAAGCAGAGGTGTGAGGCTGATGCTTCGCACGGCTGATCCTTTTCAGCTGCTGACATTCACAGGACCGTCAGCAGCATGTCTTCACACTACCTGCCACATACGGCTGGAGTGTTCTGCGCTTGGAGGCATAATCATTTCAGCAGTTGTTAAGGAGAACTCATTCAGATGGAGCAAAGGCCTGTGGCAAAATTGGAAGAGGAGGGTGGTTGGCAGTGAAAAAATGTGCTGCACATGCTGCTATGTTAACAGTTAATATTTTGCGTATCTGCACAGAACTAATGCAAATTTTGTGCAACAGTGGATGTAACAGCAGTGCGTGATCGCATCTGACTAATCGATGAATGAAAGTTCAGTGACTGACGATGCAAGGAGTGGTGTTTTGGGGTGTTTTTTGAACGAGGCAGCCAGAAACGAAGGAGCCAAAATTAAAAAATGTGATGATGCGAGCAACAGGTTGCAGATACAGATACTATATCTCCCCCTCTCTAAAGGGCATCATTCACTCTACAACAATGTGATAAGTCACTGCGTGAGTCCACTGCCAACAGTTTGAATTTAATCTCAACCTCTGAGCCACTTTACAGAGAATTTCAAACCATTACCCAAGCTCAACGATTGCCAGTGGCTGCCAAGTACCTTCAAGGGAATGTCAGTTTCCATGGTAACCACGCCACCACCAGCTGTAGACCCCATGAGTGAAAAATTTTTTAACGGCCAACCGATCACAAACCTTTCTGGAAGTTTCTCCCGAGTACTGTGTTGGCCTCTCTATCTCTAATGGACTTTTTACTCTTTGTACTGTGTGTGTCAGCTGATGCTCACTCCCAGCTTTCTTTAGTAGTTTCTCTCGGACTGAGAGGGCTCTGCGACACTAAATGGAAGGATGTACACATTTTTTAAAGTCAGTTGAGAATCAGGAAATGATATGTTCCCATCATTGTGGTTTCTTAACTTTGATCACATCAAAAATGTGTTTAACCTGTAATACAGTACTGTTTATGTTATTACCTGAAGAAAGAAGATGAAAGCACTATTGTGCTACAGTCACACTAGTTTAAACAGTGGTTGGAGACACAACCACGTTTATTGTGACCGTGTGAAATGAAGTTTTCTTGTTTGGAAATAGTTGCTTGAGAGACGGGGAACAGGTCTGTCAACTGCTGTCCTCAAAACATCTTGGGTTAGTCAAGATGGCAATAAGGTGGAACCAGTCAGTTTGCAATCAAATGGGCTCAAGTTGGCCATTACATGCAGTCTGTTTGTGATAATACACCAAACTCTGATAAATCTGCAGTCCCCAGATCTGTTGCAAATCTATTGTGATCCATCCATTTTCTTCCACTTGTCCAATTCAGGGTCACAGTGGGGATGGAGGTTATCATAGTACAAGAGCCAGGATACTCTTTGGACAGGTAGCCAGACTGTTGAAGGGCCAGCACAGAGAGACAGACAACCACTTACACTCACATTCACACCCACAGATAATTTAGAATCACCAACTAACCTAAGCCCGTTAACAGCATGTATCCGGACTGGGGAAGGAAGCCAGACCACAGAGAGAGGACTCATACGGACACGGGGAGAACATGTGAAACTCTTTAAGCAGAAATGCACATTAGCTATTTACATTCAGAAATCAGTCAGAACCTCAAATGTGAAACACACTTTCCTCTATAAGTAGTGGTGTAGTTGCTGTGAAATGGCAATTTAACTGCATTAAAATATAGGCGTGCTGTAACTTTGTTTTAATAAAAATAATTTAAACAGAATCCAACCAGCTGGCAACCAGATGATGATGCAGATTAATTCTAGCATTTTATTTATTCACAAACCTTTGCCACTCTGTCTGAGAGTGATTCCAGTCAGTCTCAGTCAGACTACAACACCAAGCGACCTGTGGTTTCCACTCAAGCTCTGGGTGACAAGTTGGTTACTTGTCACCCAGATGTAACCGAGCCATTAGAAAAGCAATGGCCTTGCTAAACAATACCAGGTAAAGCAAAGCTTTACTTGAAATTATGTGCTTAGATGCTCTGAGCAGCACTGAAGATGGAAAAACAACTTTACAACATGGGAAATAAGACCAACAACTGTAAATGCACAGGCGGGCTGAAACAAGCTCTGTAACTTTGACTGAATTATTATCACCATGTAAGTTACAAATTTACTGTTACAGTCTTCTGAAGGACTGGTGGGTCTTTACAGCATAATAAAGTAAATCGACTCAGCTCATTCTTTTTCCTCTAACACCAAACTGACACGAGTAAAATAAATCACTGTGGAGTGCCTTTAGTTTTGATTGCATTCCTGGGGACAGACTACTGGAGCAGTGAAAATAACAGTTAAGAAGACTGAGAATATTACTGCTAAGCATATGTGCACAATTAAAATGCAATTTGTTTAAATGTTTAAAGCGGATCAAAGTACATTCCCGAGAACTGGTATAAAAGTAAAGATGAGCTTCTGGTAAACTACAGCATCACATCTAATTATCACTAAACGAATGTTTCTATAGTAAAAAATATGTGTTGTTTCGCTTTTTGTGTTGTTTCCCTTATAAGCAGGGTTTACTTCTCTCTTCTGAAGGCAAGGAAAGGAAGAGTACTGCTCAGTAGACACTGAAGAAATGCAGCTTCAAGCAAAACAGACATGTGCCTCCCAAAGGCAAAGCATGCTCATCTCTCCCGCTAGTGTGCGTAGCCAGGAGTTGATAACCAGGTAGAGAGGAGCCATGTTGGAGACAACATGCCCAAACAAACTCCCACAGGATGTGGAGCGCTTCTTAAAAGCAGACAAGCCGCATCTTTAAAAACACAGCTCTGGCATTGGTTCACACATGATTTCATGACCCACGGTGTTCACACCTGATTCTCTCCCCTCCTGGGTCTTAATCAAGTTGTTTGTTTCAGAAAGACTTCATTAGTTTGTTTCTTTGATTGTGTAGCTGTGAATGCCTCTGAGTGAGTGCGCGCGGACGAGCGCACACTGATTTAACATCATGAAACACACATACTGTCCTTGAGAGTGCCTCTGACAAATGTAAACAAGTAAAACAAATTTTTTTAAAAACTCATGACGTCGTGATCATAGATCATTTTCTTACTGGGAATACAGGTCGGCGCATGGCAGGCGAAAGTGGAGAGGGTGTTAAGAGATGTTTTCCTTTATGGAGAATGATTTGTTTGTTT